ACTTTTACCTACATAAATAAACACTTGATTTAATAACTATTTCAGAGACAGATTCTTCATTAAACTGGTTCCATCATCCGGTCGTCATCCTTCATCATCCATCATTGCTTCAGCTGAGATGAGGTTAATTAATGTGACACAATTTAACATATCCAATGATTATAGGGGTGCATTTTACTTTTATGTTGTTTATATTGATTTATTTTAAAATGTAACACGTCATTGTGCGAAATACTGATGACCCTCAGCTGCATGTTTAAAACTAACACATTAATAATTTTACCCAATGAACAGGCACAATATTGATAACCATCAACAGTGAATTTAGAGGGGTGTTTCACTTTTTCTGATTTAATGATAGGCCTACTCTGAACCAAACACAGAGCATCATGCAGCCTTCATTGCATAAAATGACACGGTGTTATGGTGACAAAAATCAAACCAAATCAAAAACATTTATAAGTTCAAAAGTTGACACCATAAGTCAGAGTGTATATGCATGTTCTGTATATGAGGAAAACCATCACTTCCTCAGTGATAGAGTTGGTAATGTTTAAAACTGTTAAACACTGCCACCAACTGTTCAGGAGGATTATTACATCCCTAAATGTTTCACTGTGGAAGGGGCGTGTACAACAGGGTGGCCAATGGGGTGGCTAAAGATTTGTATGCGGTGGCCATGGCCACCCCTGGCCACCCCCTAGCTCCGCCCCTGTTGGAACCGGAGCSTTATATTTAGGAGGCGTTCGTGTTGGTGTGTGGGCTTTTTTAGTTTGTTTTTTTAGTTTAGTTTTATTTTATTTTTGGTATCTGTTTTCAGCTATGCAGCGGAGGAGGGGAAGCTTTRTGGGTTCAGCTCCCATCGATGCAAACACGACAGCCAGTCACTTTGGATAAAAGCGCACAGCAGCTGGTGCACTATACGTCTTGGACTGCTGAAAAATAAAAGCTCTAAATCCTGAGGTTTGCTTTTACAATAGCTCTGCTTTCATTTGACAGCAACTGAATATTTTTTTTTTACTCTTTTACACTTGAAAGCCTTTTTTCCCCCATCTCTTTTACCTTGGCTGTGCAAAAATATTCGGCACCAGAAAATAGATCTGTATCCGCAGAAAATCACCTGTCAGTGTTAATAACGTTTGCCACAAATTCTATGTTCAGTTCCTTGTTTCATCTCATGTGGTGTTTGAAGTTTTTTATTTCTATTTTTCCTCTCTCTTTTCTTGTTTAGGGAAAATACGTCGCTCTCCTTCACCAGCTGTGCAGGAAATAGGTGCAACAACTGTCCCAGCACATGTCACAGGAAAATCTACAAGAGTCTCAAACATTTAGGCGATAAATAGACCATGACCAAAGATTCAAACACAAATGTTAAAACTGAAAGTAACAGGTCTGGAAGYGCCGCTTGGTTTCGGTTCTAATGTGTTTTATTGTGCTGCCTCTCCATGTAGAAAGTTGTGGAAATGTCTTTGGGGAAAAAAAATCGAACTCAAAGACTGACAGAAAAAGGTAAAAGTACAGAGGAGAAAAATGTTTTCAATGTCTTTTTTTATATGGCAATAAAAACAAAAACACGACCAATGAATTAATCTGAATTATTGTATTCTTTGATAATGTAATATGTAATAATGTTCAAACAAACACGTGAGAATCCACACAGG